GTGTGTGTGCTGGATGGGACATACCTGTTCTTTGAATATTTGGTAAAGGTCAGACAAAACTTCTTAAGCTGGTTTTTCTTCTTCATGTAGTATTTACATTTTAAAAATACATTGGAAAGACTCCATAAAGGTCACTCACACAAAATTTGAATATAAATATGGTTTATTATCATATCCATTTCTAATCCTCCAGTTAGCTTAAGCTTTGACATTAATCTCTACTCTGAGAACTGTGGTTCTAGTCCTTGGGTGCGCAAACTTTTTGACTCGAGGGCCACAATGGGTTCTTAAACTGGACTGGAGGGCCGGAACAAAAGCATGGATGGAGTGTTTCTGTGAACTAATATAAATTCAAAGTAAACATCATTACATAAAAGGGTACGGTCTTTTTTTTTTTTAGTTTTATTCATTTCAAACGGGCGGGATCCGGCCCGTGGGCCGTAGTTTGCCCACAGCTGTTAGTCATTATCCCCCTGCAGTGGTTCTCAACCTTCCTAATGCCATGACCCTTTAATACAGTTCCTCATGTTGTGGTGACTCCCAACCATAAAATTATTTTCGTTGCTACTTCATAACTGTAATTTTGCTACTGTTATGAATCGTAATGTAAATATCTGATATGAAGGATGTATTTTCATTGTTTGCGACCCACAGGTTGAGAACCGCTGCTTATGTCTTTCCACCTCCTTGAGTTGCCTACTGTGACATTTAATCTGCGCATGCCTGTTTACAGTGCATCCAAACCTCAGATATTTCTGGCTCTGTTAAAAGTGACTTGCTCTATGTAGGCAAATATTTATTACTGTGTTTGGAGCATCTATGTTGATAGATATTGTGAAAGAATATGTAAGACAGGCTACAATAAAAGGACTAGTAGATTCTATCCATTATAGTGTAAAGATCTGGCTTTCTTTTATAAATAATATAACACATTTATTAATAATTTAATTGATAAGTGGCTGACAGTGACTTATAGTGCTATCATTACCAGAAAACATATTTAATAGTTAACTGTAGTCTTTAAGACTTTAAGACTCGCATTTAGGCATTGAATTAAGTCAGTGAGCAAGTATTCGGGGACTGAAAAGTCTAGCAGTCCTCAAATGCAACCTGTAGGAAGCTGTCTGCTCTACATGTCAGGAAATTCCTGGATAGTCAGCAAGTTCACTAGTCAAACCTACAACTTGAATTTCCAATTTAAAACAGAGTGCTTTAAAAGTGAACAGCATAAAAATATGAAGGTGTTACTTTTCTTCATGGTTTAGGTTTAGAGGTCATTTTCATTGTCTACACTGAATATAACTTTGATTTATAAAGGAATTCTGAATGTTATTTGGAGAAGTTTATTTTCTCTCATTTTGTCTTAAAGTTCAAACATAGGCATCGATTTGTATCTATAGCACAAAATATAATTCCCTTACAAAAGAAGCTCTTTTTTTTGCATGATTGTCATGTTAGTTATGATTGTGTTTTCTATATGATGATGGAGGATACTGGGCCGGTGGGGGGGGGGGGGGGGGGGAGAGGAGAAATTGTAGTGATTAAGAGCACAAACTATTGGGTCATATTTTCTGGGTTAGACTCCTGGCCCCAGATGACTGTGCAACAAGTTCCCATGACTCATTGTGCTTCCATTTCCTAATCTGCAAATTTGGACTTACTTATAGTGCTAACCTCATAAATACTACTGAGCGAATATTAATTCTGAGGACATTTGAAATTATTGACATACCATTTCAAGTATTTTCTGCTCTTGTTGTTATCATTTTGTTAATATTAGTCTCATTGCTATCAATACTTTCATTGCTACCAGAAAAATTATGGATACATCTGTATATAATTAAATGATTGTAAGGTGATGAGATATGCTAAATTATAAGAGGATAAAATGTTTAGCCAGTTTCAGGTATACACTTATCTCTTTGATAGTTTTGTCTAGTAGTTAAGAGCTCATACTTTCAAGTCAGACTACCTGCGTTCAAGTCTTAGCTATTCCAGTTTCTAGAAACATTTTCTAACAGAAGTTCACTCTGCCTGAGTTCCCTCATCTGTTAAATGCTAATAATACAACAATCTCATTTAGTTAATTCAATAAATTTTAGTTATTTATAACTTTTGAAATTTATAGAGTTTTACAACTACCATGGTCCACTTTTAAAACATTTCCATCAGCCCAAAAAATTCTATTGACTCTGTTTGAACCCAGTTTCACAGTTAAAAGTCAATCTGATTTCTGTTTCTTTAAATTTGCCTCTTCTGAACATTTCATATAAATGAAATATTTGTATAATATTTGGTGCCTTGCTTCTTTCATAAGGCTCTTGTGGTCCATCTAGGCTACTTATAAGTAATTTCTTTTTTTAAAATTTTTGTGTAGTATCCCACGCATAAATATACCATATTTATTTATCTGTTTATTAGTTGGGTTGTTTCCACCCTATGGCTATTATGAATAGTGCAACTATGGTCACCTGGCATACTGGGCTTCCAGAGATACATATAAATAAATTCATTTATTTGTTTTGCTTAGATATATTCATAGGAATAAAACTGGCAGGTCACACAATAACCTTATGTTTAGTTTTTGTTTTATTTTTTATCATCACCTGAAGATATTTTTTTCCCATTGCTTTCCAGAGAGAGTAGAAGAGAGATAGGGCTGATGCTCTAACCACTTAGCAACACATTCCAGGGCTTATGTTTAGCTTTATAAGAAACTGTCAAATTTTTCCAAAATGATTGCACTATTTTTATTCCTACCAGCAATGTAGGAGGGTTCTTATTTCTTGAAAACCTCATAATGCTTGGTGTTGTCTATCTTTTTTTGTATTATAGACTCCTGTGTAATATCATTGTGAATTAATTTGCATTTTCCCAATGACTAACAATTGAGAACATTTCTAATTCTTAGCAACAATTTTTATGTCTTCTTTGATGAAATGTTAATTTCAAATATTTTGCCATTTTTAGAGAAAGAGAGAGGAAGTGAGAGAGAAAAATATAGAAAGAAAAACATGGATTTGTCATTCTACTTATTTATGCATTCATTGGTTGCTTCTTATATGCGCCCTGAACAGAGATTGAACCCTCAGCTTTGGCATATTGGCAACATGCTCTAACCAACTGAGCTACCCAGGGCATATTTTACCATTTTTATTTGTTTTCTTATTATTATTAAGTTGTACTATTTATTTGTATATTTGATACAAGTTCTCTATCAGATAAAAGATTTGCAAATATTTTATCTTATTTTTGGTTTGTCTTTTTATTTTGCCTGAAAACAATTTTAAAACATGCATGTTTATAGTGCTCTGAACAATATACATGTTTACTTGTCATGAAATAGTCAGATCTAATTTTGTTAGACCTTTCCTTTGTATATGTGTACAAAGGTGAATTCTGTGATCTGGATACACGCACATAGTATAATGTTTATTTTTCTCACATCTATTTGAGTCTGACAAAAAAACAACAACATAGTTTCTATTCTCTCAGAGATTCCTGAACTTCCCAAAGATTTTATTTAATGCAGATTTGGTGGGGTAGAGACAAGAAATTGAAGTCCTACTGGTCAGTTCTATTTCAGAGATCGTGTTTTTAATGAATTCTTTTAATTGATGATTCCTGTGTCATTACACAGTGTACATTACATTTCCAGACATAAATCTCAGTATTATATTTTTAATTCCACAAAACAAATAAGAACTTTGTAAGACACCATTGTTTTTAAACTTAATAGGCCTTTCTTTCTTTCTTTCTTTCTTTCTTTCTTTCTCTCTCTCTCTCTCTCTCTCTCTCTCTCTCTCTCTCTCTCTCTCTCTCTCTCTCTCTCTCTCTCTCTCTCTCTCTCTCTCTCTCTCTCTCTCTCTCTCTCTCTCTCTCTCTCTCTCTCTCTTTCTTTCTCTCTCTCTTTCTCTCTCTCTTTCTTTCTTTTCTTTCTTTCTTTCTTTCTTTCTTTCATCACATCAGTAACATTACATTCAAATTTAACATTAATAACCTCTGTTCTTTAAAATCCTCAGAATATTCATCTGCTTGATAATTTTCGCAGAGCAGTTGCACACCATAGACCTCCAAGTACACTGATTTATTTTCCATATCTGTCTCCTCCAAAACAATTTTTTTACCTATTAGTATGTAGAACAGCTTAATTATCTTTTATGTCTCAAATGTATATACAGTTTCCCATTTACTAAGGGTCTTACTTTCTGCTTGAAACCAAAATGTGGGTGTTTGAGTCCGAGTTCTTGTCCCAGAAAATTGAAGAATGAAGTCGTTGACAAAAAACAATTAATGGAACCAAAGTTCATTGGGAGAAGTCAGTCCTGGAAAAGGTGCAGCTGGGGTCCCAGGAGGGGACCAGTGTCCCGAGCTTCCTTTCCATGTTACAGCCAGGAGTCATTTAGTGTCCAAGCGAATTAGAGTCCAGGGGTTCAGGTGTGGAGGCCCACAGGGATGTGCTCTCCCCCATGGGAAGGAATGTCAGGAATCATTGGGTGCAGGGGAGAAAAGAGAGGGCAAGAGGAAGCATGCACCTTTAATTTAAGGGTGGAGACAGCCTTGTTAGCTCTTGATTGGGCTTTTCAAAGAATTCTGCCTTAGCAACATCCTTGGGATTGGTTTATATGCCTTATTGCCTTGTGATTGGTTATCTGCACACTGTCAGTCTTAGCAACATTCATATATTTTAAAATTTGTTTCCTAGGAGCACCCTTTCTTCCCGCCCAGTTGGGTGTCTTATTAACTCCATCTAGTTTCACTTCCTTCCCTTCCACCCCCTCATGGCCCTCATGGTCCCTGTTCCTATCTACCTAGCTTCCCTCTGTCTCCTCAAGCTCCAATAATCTTTTTTTTTTTTTTGGCAGATAAAAAGGTTTTGCTTTTATTTTTTTAAAAAATATTTTACAAACTAGAGGGAGGGAGGATTTATTCACAGCAGGACATGATCAACAGATACATGAGCAGCGGTACCAGGGACAGCGGGGGAAGGGCACTCCTGCCACTCAGGCCTCCCCGCCTGCTTGGGGGTGCTTCTGCCGCAGGTGTTTGTCCAGGGTGGCCCGCAGGCCGAAGGGCACACGGCTGTGGGGGCACTCAAAGCGGGCACCGCCGGGCCCCAGACCGTGCATGCGGCGGTGGCGGTTCAGCTTGCTGCTCTGGGCACAGGCATAGGAGCAGAGCTCGCAGGTATAGGGCCGCTCCCCGGTGTGTGAGCGCCGGTGCACAGTCAGGCTGCTGCTGTCGGTGAAACGTTTCCCACAGAACTCACAGCTGCCCCCGGGCCCATGGCTCTTGCCCACTGTCTTTGGAGTCTTCTTAGGCCACTTCTCTGGGATCTGGGCAGAGTTGATTCTCTCTTCCTTGATGGCATCGCCCCAACTGTCCCCACCGGGACCAGCCTGAGCTCCAGCACCTGGAGCCCCAGGTTCCTGCACACCTGCTGTGTGGGCAGCTCCAGCCCCTTCAGGGCTGCACAGGAGAGTCCTGGCTGGGGCAGCATCATGGGCGGCTGGCTCTGGAGGCGCAGCTGAGGCCTGTTCCTGACTGGCCTTGGCCGTGTAGGGGCTCTGAGGCTGCAGCTGCCGGTGGTGGGTCTTCTTGTGGCGGTTGAGCCTGCTGCTGTGGGCACAGGCGTAAGAACACTGGTCACAGGCGTAGGGCCGCTCGCCCGTGTGCGCGCGCATGTGCACCTTGAGGCTGCTGAAGGAGCTGAGGGTCTTCATGCACACCGGGCAGGTGGGGCTCCGCCGGGGGAGGCTGTGCGCCCAGGAGCCCTTGGCCTCCACTCCCTGCCCCACCACTGCTGACCTGGCTGCAGCCACCTCTGCCAGGCCCAGCAGCGGAGTCTCTGTGGCCTCCGATTCCGTCCGGTAGATGGACAGTCCATGGTCCCACTGGGCATGGCGCAGCAGTGTCCAGGCCTTGGTGAATTGTCGGCCACAGCGGAGGCAAGTCAAGGCCTTCAGGTTCTCAAGTTCTGAGTCCGGGCCAGGGCTGGGGCCTCTAGAGGGCTGACAGCCCTGCTGCTTGTGGTCCATGAAAGCCGCGATGGCCTTCAGCAGGGAGGTCTGCAGGCAGAGGCCGCAGGTCAACGTATCTGGGTGTTTGTCCGTCCAGGGCTGGCGGTCGTGAGGATTAGGGACCAGAGAAGTCCACGATGCCGACTGGTTCTGCACGCAGAGGGCGAGGAGGGTACCGGCAGCGGGCACCAGGGTAGGGCAGGAGCGGGGTGCGCCCTCAAGGCGGCCCGGCGCAGGCACTTCCTTTGGAGAACCCCGCTGCAGCCCCGCGGCCTGTAGGGACCATGGATGTGGCTCGGGCTTCACGTCGATGACCAGGTCCCCCATCTCCATCTGGTCGTCGGCGTGGGCGGCGGGCTCGGGGTCTACTCGGCGGGGCATGCAGCTGGCCTTGCAGCGGGACATGCATCGCGGTTCGGACGATCCGGCGAGCTGGCGGGCCTTCGGGCTGGCGGGCAGAAGGCTTGCTAGGCGTGTGCGCTCAGGCTGAGAAGCTCAGGTGAGTGACTGCTGTGGGCGACTGGCTGCGAACTTTTATAAGTGCTAGCCTGGCCGTGGCTCCGCCCACCGGGGCGGGGCCTGATGGGAGCAGAAGGGGCGGTCCGCTGGGGCCTGGCTGGAGGCCAAACTCAGTCTGAACCCTGTCCACAGAGATTGACTTAAGGACTACACCTAAGGGCACCGAGCTCACGCGGCCAGCACAGAAACGGCGACTTCAGATTCCGTTTTAGGGCTGGTGAAACTGAGGCACAGCATCCCCACAAACACCCAGGAGGGAGAAAACGGTAGGGGCTACGTTTCTAACTGTGCCCCTAACAGTATCTTGGACTCTTTCAGTAAATACATAATAAAAATTCACTGGGCAAACCTCTATTGCGTGCCTTTGGTGCACCAGGTACTGTTCTAAGCACTGGGGACACTGCAGCGAACCCAACAGACAATAATCCCTGGCCCCGAGTTTACTGGCTCAGGGGAGCTCCAATAATCGTAAATTATACCTAAACTCTAAACAGTGATCTCACTAAGAAGAATTCCAGAGCCAATTATTAAATAACAAGGTTTAGGCTTCTAGTTCTGCCAAGATGGAATAGCCCCATTTGTTTATTTAGAAATAAACTACCCTGGACATAACAGACAGACAAGCTTGGGAAGACCTGAGTGGTGGAAAGAAGAAAGTGGGCTGGCTGGTAAACTTAGAGCTTGAGGACAATGGAGCGGTGAGTTCCCTGCTTTTCCTTCCGGCACCCAGTATGTCTCTGTCAGGGTGCTGCCGAAGCCTCCCACCCGGAATTGCCCGGAGGCACAGACAGAAGAGGCTCAGGAAGGCTTTGCTCTATTGCTAAAGGCCATGAGAAGGTGCCCTCACAAAAATTAGTTTTGGCAATGCATCCCCTAACTCCAGGCAAACACTAACAGGAAAAAAATGTACATGAACATCCACATCCCTCCTCCCACGCTCGCCATCACCCGCTGGTTTCAGGCAGAGATGCTTTGATTCATCCGCCTGGTGGTATCAGTAAGGCCCCGCAGAGAACTATACCAACTCAATTCCTCCCGCAACTCTCAGGAGGGGGTGATACTCCAAATTCTCCCTCGATGCTGTTGGGTGGAGCTGATTTTCAATTGTCTGCAGGGTGAAAGCACCAGTTCTCCCATCTCCGGCTGGTGGAGTCAGCTGCTAGCTGAGGCTCCGTCCTCACACAGAAGCAATTGTATTTTGGAAGTGGTAGTAGGTAGGAAGGGTGAACACTCCATATTGCTCTTGCCCCTGGTGTTAGCAAGTCCTGGGGTTGCACATCACTTACCCAGCAGCAACAACACAGGGTGAGCAGGGAGAGTCTCCCCTCTGGCCCCACGACCTCATGTCAGAGGAGCCCTGCACTACACACTGCACACTAGGCATTTATTTAAAATCATAGAACTTGACAATATACAGACTGGCTCAACCTCATTAAAGGGAGTGTTGGTGAGGGAAGGGGGAATAGTTGCTGACCTAATTTTGAAAATAAGTGGAATCTGAGAGACTAAAGTAAAAAGAAACAAAAACAAGAAAACTGTACATCAATATTGTACTCTGTTTGATGAGGTGTTTATCATGAGGGATATATAGGTTATACCCCTATTCTGAAACCACTCTTCATATATATTGGAAGTGAATAACTAAGGAAATTGTTGAAAAATACTAGTGTTTTGTTTGTATGTTTGTTTGTTTGGTTTGTTTTTTTACTGTTGGAGTGGAAATTTACAGATGAGGAAGGACATGGGCTAGAATGATCTATGTGGCATGGATTAGAATTGGAGACATCAGTATAAACTCATATTTAATTTAATATAGGTACTCATGCTCACATCAGCACACACATGTATTTCCTTGCACCAAGATCTTGGTTTTCAATAACATTCTTCAATAAAAGAAAGCAGAGTCCCTTGGATAAATGGTGGATTGAGGACTGGGACAGGAAGTTTTTAAAGATAAGACTGAACCTTTTTGTAGAATCAGAAGTTAAGGAGCCAATTACAAATACTGCCAATGGCCCAACTAGGTCAATTTGAGCAGCAAAATAAGTAAAACAAAGCAAGATCATTCCTATAGGATAAGGTAGAATATCTATGAGTCAGTATGGAGGTAAACAATTTATTAAATGAATAGCTAGGTGGAAAGAAATTTTAAAAATCTCCTTTGCAGAAGAAAAGGGATTAACTAATTTATGTATATACTCCACCTTCTAGGATGCAGAGCATAACTCCCCTCTGAGCCATAAGTGTGGGATTCACATAGTGGCTTCCTCCCAAGAGGTAAGTGTGGAAAGGGAGAAACAAAGGTAACGTTACTATGGACTTGGTCAGTCATATTTGCTTGGAATATGCTGATTTGCAACTTCGTGCTTACACATCCCGCTGAACTGAGCTGATTCAAGGCAGAGACCATAATTCATTATTAATTCCACAGTGTTTATAACAGTAGCATATGCAAATTCTTGATATATAAGTTTGAACGAGAAATAACACTTCAGTCCTCTTGTTATTTTTTAAGCCTCACCCAAAGATACACTTATTGATTTTCGAGAGAGGAAAGGAGAGAGGAGGAGGGAAACATCTATGTGAGAAACATCAATAGGTTGCCTTCTAAAAGCACCTTGACCAGGGACCTGACTGCAAACTAGGTATGTGCACCTGACTTGGAATTGAAACCAAAACCTTTTGGTGTAGGGGAGATGGGATTATGCTCCAACTAACTGAGCTACCAGCCAGGGCTGTCTTCCTGTTTTAATAGCACCCTTGAACATCATTGCCTGCATAAAACTGTGCAAATTATTTTAACATTTTTCAATGTATGTGTAAAGTTATTTTAAAATACAAAGTATTGCCGAAACCGGTTTGGCTCAGTGGATAGAGCGTCGGCCTGCGGACTGAAGGGTCCTGGGTTCAATCCCGGTCAGGGGCATGTACCTTGGTTGCGGGCACATCCCTGGTTGGGGGTGTGCAGGAGGCAGCTGATCGATGTTTCTCTCTCATCGAGGTTTCCAACTCTCTATCTCTCTCTCTTCTCTCTGTAAAAAATCAATAAAATATATTTTAAAAAAATACAAAGTATTATTGGGAGCTCTTTCAATCTATGGCAAGCTATACATATATTTTATAGTTATGCTGTGGATGATAAAAATAGGCATTGAGGTGATTTCTATTAGCAATAACTGTAAATTTTACCATTATCCAATTTAACATTATTCTATGGGATTATTTTGATTCCAAGTCCAATGGATTTTCTGTTACACTTGCTAATTCTTTGTTATTAGACTACAAGAATAGTAAAGATAGTATCAGGAAACAAAAGGTAAATTTAGTATGTAAATCATGAGGGTCATTTATCAATTTTGGATGAAAAATGTTGAAAATATGAAATAGAGGATCATACTAATGTATTTCATTCCATCAAAAATAAATACAAATTTTAAACATTGCATTATTTTCAGTCATATAGAAAATATTTTTATATCAGATATTACTATGAAAGATTATGCAATTACTATTAAATCAGTAGTTTGATTTTATTATAACACTAGAGGCCCGGTGAACAAAAATTTGCGCACTCGGGGGGGAGAGGGGGGTCCCCCAGCCCGGCCTGTGCCCTCTCGCAGTCTGGGACCCCTCGGGAGATAACGACCTGCT